AAAAAAACGATTCTATAGATCCCACAAGTTGTAAGGAGATTAATCTTCTATTTTACATATCTTAACCTAGTCCTAAAAATATAATTGACATATCAGGTCTTAACCGTCTAGTGTGTTTACCAAACCCATAATTTAAGTTGACCACACAAACTGTATGTTCAACATAGGCCACAGGTCACACATAACGTTCACAGCCACATACATTTTGCTAATATATTACATTCACAGCTATGTAAAAATGTTTCACTTCACACACGCAGAAAATACTTTATTCTGATGAGCTATCATTTGATGGGTCAGCACCCGCATGTGGAGGTAGTTTCACTCCGTCTACAAAATAACGTTCACAGCCACATACATTTTGCTAATATATTACATTCACAGCTATGTAAATTTGTTTCACTTCACTCACGCACCAAGGAAAATACTTTCATCCGATGAGCTTTCATCTGCTGGGTCAGCACCCGCATGTGGAGGTAGTTTCACTCCGCTCTCCATTCCCATTGGGCCCACTATTTTTTCTAGAAAAGGCTCACGCTGCATCTTAGCGTTCGTCATGATCCCTTTTCCTTTGTCTACACGCGCAGGTCCTTCATCTATATTTTATTCCGTTAACTATTTATTTATCCAGTAGTATAATAATGTAACGGTATTATAATAAAACAATGAGTTCAAATCTTTCCATACCTCGAGTAACAGGTACCATTTTCCTTTGGCTCACAGCGTCTTCTAAGAGATCATAGTCCATGTCCACCAACATGTTCTTTTTCCATTCTCTTGTCTCTCCGACTTCAACCAGTATTCCCTTTCCCTTGTCAACTCGAGGAGGGCCCAGCACTGCATTTAATTAACAGTTGCGTTAGTGTTTATCCATTTATTTTAAAAGTTTACCGGTACACTATAAAATTATCAGTTCAACATTCCTATGCCCGGTTACAGGCCTGGCATTGGTGAGGTTCATAGTAGCCTCCAGCTCATCCATATCCTCATCAAGCATCATGATCTTGTTTCCAGGCATCGGCTCTCCAACATCCAGAGTTCCGACATCATGATCCGGTTGATGAGTTGTCCTCATCGTCACTTTGGGGAGAATCCACATTAGCAACCCCAATGTTAGGCGCCGCTGCCTTCAATCTTGCCACCTCCTCATTACTGAAGATTTCATTCAGTTCACGTTCGCTAGCTGGGATGAATCCTTGTCCTAGGAGACCTTCCCAAAAAACCATGGCGTCATCAATTCCACCAAATGTACGTACAAGGGGTGCATGATCAGGATTACCAATATAAGTATTATCCCTGTAGCGTATTTCTTCTTGTGGCAAGATATTTGATACGGCTCCAAAGGAGTGTGAGCTGCATCCAACCACAGTAGGTGATCACCTTTGAAACCGATACATACCTATGTGGTAAGCTCCAACAGTAACACAAATAGCAACCTCAGGACATTCTAACCTAATAGACTGAACATTCCAACATTGTTGTTGGTAGCTATGTCAATGGATGGGGTTCTTTTCCCTTCTGGTATAAGCATCCAATCTGGAAACCGAAAGGTCAACGCCACTTCAGGTTGAAGTTCGTAGCTGTTTTTCACAATCATAACCAAGCCGTCAAATGTTTCGTTTACCTAGACCATCACTTTGTAGCTTGGTTCGGTCTGTATTAACTCCAAGTCCCACTCACCAGCTGCGTTCTTCCTCCACGATCCTCGGACTAAGCGCACCAACAGCCCCATCACCTTTCAATTTAGAAAATAAAATTATTTAGTTGTCAGATAAACTACCATCTTTGCACACATAAGATACTTTCCACTGTTTTTTTTAATCAATTTAATCTGAGTAATATTCTGCCTAAATCTTTATTTAACAGATCTGAGATATATGGAACTTGTTAAAAATTGATAACATGAGATCCACGAGATTACAACACACCAAATCCAAATAATATGTCTACTTTTGCATGACTTTCTTTATACTCTTCTAGGTTAGATCTAACACTCAGATCTGATAGTAAAAATCGTTGGATTTTGAAAATATAACTGGATAAAATCATAGAAATACAGGTAATAACATTTTCAAACCAGATTTACTGTCAATGATTCATCTATAGTAAGATGGATTGATAAATATAGATAAAAAATTTACTGTTGCTTTCACTTTTATAGGACTATGAAGATAATATTTTTTTACCCAAAACAGAAAACTAGGGACGTTATTAAATACGGAAAAGAATAAATGTTTGGACCACAAGTATCTGTAAAGCGACAAAAATTCTCAGACAAAAAAGACAGGAACATGTAAAAGTATGGAGTATAATGGTTGTAAAGTTGAACTAAAAAAGAAGATTAAAAATGTCAGAAATTGAAGGATACATGAACATTATTTTACTTGTATTCTATTTTTTTTCTCTGGTGGTTGAAGTATTTTAATGGTGATTATGACTCTTTCTCGGTTAAAACTATATATACACCTGACGGTAAGACCTAAGTACATCTCCCACACTTCACACGTTTCTTACCACTTGCTGGAAAATATCTGTCAAAATCCTGCATTTAATGCCTTGATGAATCATTGTTTTTTGTGGTCCTTAATTAAAAACGTGTCCAAAATTTATCAGCTAATTTTATCATTAATTTTTATTATGATATCAAAGAGATCAGTTTTCCCGCCTAAACAATTACAAACCCGTGATTTCTTCAGGACAGGTTCGTCTTTTTTCATCTTCTGACAAGTTGACTTACCTTTATTTTTGTCAAACTAGTTACTTTTCTAAATACGCTTCCCTTTTACGTTTTCTACTAAATTGTCTCTAAAAAATATACGCCAAAATAAATATTTGGATGTTCATCACAAGGCCAAAAAAGTAAGGGGACAAAAGGTCATATTGTCTTATATATATAGTGCCTTTGTAAACCAATAAAGCCTTCCATCTATGCAAACTAGAAGAGGTTGTAGTGAAGCATTCTTTTAGCCAAATAATATAAATCTTAAGAACATGAAGAGCATATGAAAATTTTATAAGAAAATCTCATGTGATTGAATCAAAGGCTTTGGTTAGATCAATTTTCATGGTTACTCTTTTTTTACCTTTGTTTTCGTGATACCCATTAAAAATCTCAGATGCAAAATAAGCAGTTCTTTAACAATAATATGCCTTTAATGAATGCATTTTGATTAGGAGGATCAAATTTGGGAGCAATGGTTTCAATCTTGCAACATATAACTTGGAAATGAGCTTGTAGACTGTGCTACAACAGGAGATGAGCCTATATTCTTTGATCAATGAAGCACCCAAGAATTTATGAACTAATTAGATAAGTATAATGAGAATTAGTATCCTTTGGCAAGGTATAATTTCGGAAGAATATGCTTGTGGTAACTAACACTTCGTCCCCTATTCTTGACCAAACATCCTTGTAAAAACCAGAATTAAGTTCATGTGATCATGGCTCTTATTCAAATTTAGTTTGAAAAAAATGGAAGTAATCTCATCTACAGAAGATTGTTTCGAAAAATTTATTCTCTTTATTGGAAAGCAAGTGACCTTGGTAACATCAGAGATAATTAACATCAAGTTTTGGCTTTGTGGACTGATATAAAGATCCAAAAATTCTTTAAAATGGATAACTTAGATTGCCAATGGCTGAAGCAAAGGAGACCACATTATCATCAAAGTCTGCCAAGGTATTGACACTATTGTAAGCATTCTTTGATTTTGTTACATGTAAAAATAGATTATATATTTTGATCTCTGATTTTTAGCCAGCTAACACGAGAGCGTTGCTTGAACTACTCTTCATCTATGCTTCTTAGCATAGTCAACTTTTCTAGGTCTACTTGAAAATGAGCAGATTTAGGTCGATGGACAGAGAGAGAGAATCTAGGCAGCGCTTTGGATACTAGAAGTTTCCTTTATCCTTTTTAAAAGTTTTTGAGATGTATTTTTAATTAGCTCAAATCCTTTTGTTTGCACTTTATATTAGATAGAAAATGGTTCTCTCTATTAGTGCAGGTCCTATCATTTGTCACAATTGAAAGAAATCTGGGTGGAGAGTTAAGTAGATGGAGAACCTATATATAAGGCTTAGTTCCACCAAAGGGAGTAGGGCAGCCCAAGCTGATGCAACAAGACAAGAAATTAGCAACACTTCTAGGGTAAGAGTTAATCCAATTCTCATTGATAAGTGTTCCATCCACCTTCTTGGCAATAAAATCACCTAGTTGCTTATTTGTACAGGAGAACTTTGTGCCATGATACCTTAGATCTCTCATCTCTGGTTGGTCAATGCATGATTTGAAATCAATCACTGGAGTTGTGAACATATTTTCTCATGATCAGGAGTGCTCTCGAAGATGAATTATTTCATTGAAATCCAAAATTGAGGTATGAGTTAAGGTTAAGCAATTCAACCCATAGGTCATTTCTTTCTTCAGTAGTATTTGTTGCATATATAGCAGTAAATAGAAAATCAAAAACATTTGGGCAAGTGACTTTAAAAGTCAGCGATTGTTTAGAAGAATTGAAGATCACAACAAAAAGATGAGCTTCCTATATCAAGACAATACGGCCATCAACATCACATTGGTGATTTTAGGCAAAAATCTAGCTTGGACAGACATCATTCATCAGTTGGTTTAGCGTTGGTTCTTTAATATGTGTTTTAAAAAAGACTCCAAAAATACTTAGAGAGTTGTTGTAAGCCACCTCGATCTTAAAATCAAGATATATCAGTAAATCAAATAATCCTCTAATATTTCAAATATTTTTTTTTTATGTTTTGACTTCTCTTTGTATGAGAATATAACCTACTACAGAGATAGTGAGAAGCTAGCTAGAAACAGTAGTTGCATTATCATCACTTGAATCAGCTAGGAAAGTGAAATGATTTTGGTCCTTAACTATGGTCTTAGAAGCTTGCACAAGCAAGAAGACTATACTTCAAGCTTCTAAACAAATGGTCCGATGGACGCATGATCTAGAATAGTAACTAGATAAGTTATATTTTTTGCTAGAGTGAACTTTAATTCTCTTGAAATTTGACCAAACTCAACTTTATATTTTTTACCTGTAAGGGCGAAAACACTTTGCGCGGATAGACCGTCAATCATTATGTTAAACATGGTCAAAAGATAGCTTTAAAAGAAGAGTATCAACCACTTCTAAGTATTTCAATACCAAATTAGTTAGTGAAGAAGAACCGCAATATCAGCAACATATGATGAAGAGTCCTTAATTGGAGTAGAGAATATGTAGCTAAGGAAGCAACAATAGTTTGAAAAGAAGAGGATCCAACACATGCAATAAGATTGATGGCTCATCTAAGGCATGAAAACTAGAGGGGCCTGTAGTTGAGTGTGTGGAAGAGGCTACAACATGAACTGTAGCATGGGGGAGTAGAATGAAGGGTAGTTGAGCCAATATTAGTAGTTAGTACCTACATTAGAGGCTATAGTAGAAGTGGTAGTAAGAGAAGTGACAAAGGGAACTGAATATGAAGTTGTAGGACGAGGAGCCTTACCTTTAACCTTCCATGAACCATTAGGACACAAAGCTTCAAGATGGTCTATCTTTTTGCAACATGGACCAGTTGGTGGGATCCAAGCATATTCAATAGAAAGAAGCACAAAAATCTTCATTCTCACTTTAGGAAGAGGTTTGGTACAATCAACCTTCACCTTTAAATGGACAGCATTAATTTTGACCAAATTCTTGGTAAAATCATCACATTCGACATGGATACCTAGAAGGTCTAAAATACATCCTAGTCCTTCTGGAGCATACACATCAAAAAGAATACATTTGATATAGGTCCAAAGAGGAGAGAAGGTTAAAGAAGGAGGGTTCATGGCCAACGAGGAAGATCACTGGGCCATATAGAAGAATTCTTATGTGCAAAATCTCTTAGATGAACTATTTTCTTTTTATTGTAGAATTGTAGTCTTACTAACATTAATGGCTTTGATTCAGACCGTAGATGAATTTTGAGTGTCATACCTCTGCCCCAAATATGGGTTAACACTGTTTCGAAAGGAATGAGATTCGCTCATGAAGATACCATTATGAAGTCTTGATGAAGGT